TCTTCCTTCAGCCGAGCTGCAAGCTAGAACTAGAATAGATTAACCCACCTCTCCCTCCCTGGGTTGGCCGAATGTCGCACAATCACGCGGGACTCACATCCCGCGGGACTGCCTCATTCGTGCTTTGGTTCCCGCTCGGGATTCTAGCAATCACGAGCGGCACCCCTGGGTTGCGGAGACGGTCGGCTCAGTAAATGGCCGAGTCTCTCCACCACCCTATCCTACTACTCTACTCAACTAGTCGTGCTGTGCTGCTCTAGGCGAGCGCCGCTTGTCGGCGCTCGATTCCAGGGAAATGAATGATCAATCACGTGCGTGACTAAAACATCGAGAACAGCTTTGAGAACCATGCGATGTTCCTTGCCAAGTTGCCAGCAACGAGCAAATCTTCAATGAAAGATGATGTCCTGATGAAAGTAGTGAAGACCAGCCTTATATAAGCCAGCGGAGCTGTGTAACCTCGGCAGAAAGGTTTCAGTGTTTACATGTAGAAGCAGATACCCCGAGCTAGCTAGCTAGAAGCAGATACCTCTAGTGCTTAGCTAGTGCTTAACTTGCGCTTAGCTAGCTAGAAGCAGATTCCCCCTAGCTAGAAGCAGATTCCCATAGCAAGCTAGAAGCAGATACCCCTAGCTAGCTAGAATACAAGTTATATAGCTTTCGCTGGCTTTAGAGTTTTTCCTGCATGTAAATAGCTTTAGCTGGTTTAAAGCACCATCCCAGGATACTTATTTAGTTTTTGCTGACTTATTTGTATTCTAACCCTACCCTTATACCTGCAGGGACCACCCTATGCCTAGCAGGAAAAACAATTAAAGGGGTTGAGGGCTCTGGCAGCAAGACTGCCGAGGTAAATTAACCGTATCTGGATGAACCATGAAAGCCAACACCAGCAGTAACGAGTCGCCCACAGAGACGGCGCCCCCTGGTTCAGCAAGGAGAAGCGAACGAAACAGCGGTAGAGCTGTTTCATTTTGTGAGGAGGAGGCAGACGATGGTGAAGCCGTGCTTCCTACGACATGTACTTCCGTGGAACACCACCAAAAGCAACGGCTTGCTCTGCAACACCGAAGCAGCAGTTTAGTCACCGAGAACTCGTATCGAAGTCCAGGTCCTTGCACTTGCTTGACATGGAGTCGACATCGCATTCAAGTGGCGGCGCTGGGCTGTTGCAGTGCCTTGATGGTTGTCACCATTCGCCTCATTCTGGATTTTTCCTCTGGATCCACATATATTATTCATTCCATCATCATCTTGCTGGATATGGCACTCATTCATCTTTTCACTAACTCACCCTGGCTCAGTTTCGGTGGAGAATGTGTCACAGTAATGTGCTTTCTAGGATACCATTTCACTCATGAGACTATCTTTGAATTGGTAGAAACCACCTTCATTGCAGTCCTCTGCAGTTTGCACATGATACTGTCCAGAGACAAACACATGAACCATGAGGAACAACTTGAAGAATCACTCAGAGAATGGCACAAGCTTAGTATGAGATCCAATTTTGGTAGTGCAAGCAGCAGTGTCACAGAGAGCCAGGGATCTGATGGACGGGGATGGAGACCACTTCTATTGGAAGTGGATGAAGAACAAGGAAACACCGCCACTGCACAAAATTCACCAAAGGAAGCAGCATCAGAAAACCCCGACATTGGTGGGCTGCCGCAAGACCAAACCCAAAAAGTTGTATTAGTCAAAGAAGATGAAAGCATCCAAAATCATCAAGGCAATTGCAAGGGTGCATCACACATGTACTTCGTCACAGCTCACAAGGCTCTCAGAAGAAACATTGCGGAAACCAATTCTTTGAAATTTTCTGGATGGGTCTGCAGGTGTCATGTACACAAGCTTTCTAGGCTTGATCTTGGACGAGCTCATCAATTACGGCATCAACAGGGCAGACGACGACCCATGCACTTGAGCTGTCGCACAAGAGTCGCAGAAAAAAGTGGGAACGGAAGGGAACCTAAAACGAACCTAGCTAGCTACAAAATCATTGCATCTTCTTCCACTTTCTAGCGCAATATACCATTCTGTGTCGCGACATCGGTAGTCATCTGGGTGGTCGGAAAAGGGAAGTGGTTCATCAACCACAGCCCGAACATGGATTCAGGAGCAGTTCCAGCGTCCAAAACAAAGCTTTTGCCTCGATAGTGCGAACCGTTTTGATGGAAAACACAGTAGTATTTTTATTAAATTTTGATTGTATTTTCTAGACAATACAGTAAACGGAAAGTTCCTTTTCAAAATAGACGATTCAAAAAAGGCTCCAACCTCTTTTGTTTTTGTCATTGAAGATGGACGCTCTACTTCTCCAATGAACACGTCACAAGAAAATTTGGTCAGGAAGAAGTCTGGATGACATTCTTGGCTTCCGGGCAAATGCTTCCCCTTCTTGACAACTTGCAAGGTTCACAAAATGTAAGAAAATGGGTTTTTTGTCTCACACCGTTGCTGTTCGTGTAGATGCACAAAAAGTCACTGAACCAATATGCCAGCAATAGAGACCTCAATGGACCTCCACTTGATATTGGAAGGACGGGACTTTCGAGCCGTAGCGGGATGGTTTTGTACAACAGATCCAGTCTTCACGATTTCTGTTCCAGAGATCCGCCCTGGCGGAAGTGCGTCCTGGAGTACAGTTTACGTTTCCAAGAAAGCAACAGACAATCTGAGCCCCCGTTGGTCAGAAGCTTGCATACCTCTCGAGTTTCTTTGCAACGGGTACTTGGAAAGACCTTGTCGGATCACAGTAAAACATTGGGACGACAATTCGGAGCATATCGTGATAGGTTTTGCGGACTTGACTGTGCAAGACTTACTAGAGGCATCTGGAGTTCCCTCGAAAGCAATCCAGTTGCAACTGGAAGGAGAAGTCGAGGGCCACGGTAGTGTTGTTGTCCGACACGCCCGCCTTCAAAGACCTCTCCGAGAAGGTTGGATGTTAGATGCACGAAAGCTCTTGACAGGGGATCCATCCTCTCCATCGGCTGTCAAACCGAGAGCCACTTCAGTTTTTCGCCTCACTTTGGAGGGAACGGGTCTAGATGGAGGATGGTTCTCTGTGGCAAACCCCTTCTACGAGCTGCGACAACGACGTTCGGAGAAGGAAAGACAGAGCGAAGGAGACGATTGCGAATGGAAATTATTGCATCGCTCCGAAACCGTGAACGGCAGCTTGGATCCTATCTGGAAATCAGCTGCAATACCAATGCTCTTACTATGCCATGGGGAGGGAGGTTTGAAACAACCAATTCGAATTTCTTGTTTCAATGATACAGGTGGTGGTCAAGCAACGTCAATTGGGTCTTTCGACACAACAGTCTTGGATCTGCATTTGGCGGCAGGTACTGCCAAAAAATGTGCGCTGAAGTCCAAAGAGGGTCACACTGACAGCGTTGTTCGTGTCATTGAAGCAACTCTGCCCGATGAAGGTTTATGTAATATGAACCCCAACCAGGATGGGAAAAGAGAATGGACACCTCGTCGTCAAAGTGGTACTCGTAAGATGGTTGTCGGTCCCAATTCGGCACCGTTGAAGAACGGAAGTGAGCACCTTAGTACAAGGGCTATCTCTCCACGTAGCACACTACCGGTATGCAGTTTCAACAGTGCCGAAGAAGAAATGTTGGTTACTGCGTCCCACAGCAAACAAGGTGGCAAGAGGGACCATGTTCTGTTGGAGTTGCCAATTGAGAATACCCTTTCCAGTGTGGAACCGCAACTGCAGCAGTCGAATGGTGCTGCTCTTGCGAGTAGTGCCCTGACTGCTTCATTGGCCCAGATTATGCAAAAGAATGAGGACCTTGTAGCTAAAAATCAAGAACTTAAAAGGGCCCTGGAGGAAGCCAAAACGAAGATTGCGTTTTGCGAACAGCTTGTCGTAACGGCAAACAAGCACTGTTCTCGCCTGAAAAGAGATAAAGACGATTTGATCCTCGAGAAGACACGTATCCAGAAAGAGCTGAGGCGAACCAAACAAGATGCGGCAACCAAGGCTATGAAGTTGAACGAATCGATCCAATCATTGGCGGAGGTAGCTCGTCGCGGGCCTGATGCCTCGTCGGAGCAGCTTCTGACAGAGAAAGATAGCATTATTGAGCGTATGAAAGGAGAATTTGATACTTTGAGCTCTCGATTATCCCGCCTAAAAGTTGCGGTCGCGGAAACCACCAAGAACAGAGAGAACGTTTCAGATCTTTTCAGTGAAGAGTGTGCCAAGGCGGTAGTGGCAACACATCTCGCCGCAACAAATGCAGCAATCCGAAACAAGCTAGGAGAATTGATGGCAGATGCCGAAAAGAAGCAAAAAAGCGGACAAATAAGCGTCGCAGCTGCTGAACCGAACTTCCATCTCGACCATGGACCGCAATCTGAAGCATTTAGCAGCGCTGAAAACTGCAAGGGAAGCACCGATTCTGCTCCAAAGCAACCGCCTTTGCATCGTGCATCATCTGCTTCAAAAGCGTGTCCATTTGAAAGAGCATCATCGATGCGATGTGTTCCATCTTCCACGGGTGATCTAGTTGAAGCCAAAACCAAAGAAGTGCCAGAATCGCAGAAGGCCAAAGGACGAGTGATGTCCAATTACTGCAAGAGTCCAAGGAAACCCTCCTTGGAGCGCTTTTCATCTGCTCGATCTGTGTCATCATGCTCAAATTTTCCAGCTTCTCCTTTGGGGCAAGCGCCATCCACAACCGGTGCAATTTGCGAGGCAAACACTAGAGAAGCGCTGAAGCCCTCAAAAGTCATCAGTCGTTTGGAAAAAGCGAGGTCAAGTTACCACAAGAGTACAAGTCCTAAGACTGGCCTAAGGAAACCCTCCTTGCAGCATTCATCATCTGCACAATCTGTATCTTCATGTTCTACTGGGCCAAAATACCCATTGGAGCAAGCACCGCTGGAGCGGGCATCATCGATGCTCTGCATACCACTCTCCAGTGATATGGTCAAACCTACCGGTAGCAACAAAGAAGCTCAAGCCCTCAAAGCTCAAAACACTGGTTTCACAACAGTTAAGCAAACCTTCGAAAGCGCAAGTGCAAGTACCGGAGCCAGGCAGAAGAATCGCCCCATGCAGCGTGCATCATCAATTCAATCCGTTTCATCACATTCAGAATCCTCACAGGGAATGCCATCGGAGACTATCAAGATGATTGAGATGTGCAACGACAAGGTTGCGGAAGCCCTGCACACGAAAAACATCCTTTTGGAAAAAGCAAGGTCCACTGGTGACATCAATGGGACTGCTGGGTACGAGAGTTCCAAGTCTGGAGCTAACCTTCAGAATCCCTCCTCGCAGCGTGCGTCATCCTTGCAACCATCATGCTCAAAGGTGCCACTGGAGCCGGCATCATCCGCAAGATGCATACAGCCAACCACCAGTGACATGGTTCAAACTATCAACAATAAACAAGTATTGGAAGCCCCGAAAGAAAAGAACAAAGCCAATGATAGGTCTAGGTCCATTGCCAGAGGAAAGGTAAATCGTGTCAGCATAGCGACCAGGGCTGGCATGGAGAGGCCATCTTTGCAGCAAGCAGTATCCAGTCGATCCATATCATCAAATTTAAGGGTGCAACCTTGCCCACTGCAACGGGCAGCATCCATGCAAAAAATTGACAATAAAGCAGTTTTGGAGGCCCTCAAAGCCCAAAACAAAAATTTGGACAAAGAAAGGTCCACTGAGAGAGGGAAGGTAAATCATGGCAGCTGCACTGGCAGCATGCAGAGGCTATCTTTGCAGCGAGCACCATCCACGTTGTCTGTATCATCACATTCAAAAGTGCAATCTTGCCCGTTGGAACGGGCATCATCCTTGCAATGCATAACATTGGATACCATCAACAACAAAAAGGCTCTGGAAGCCCTCAAAGCCCTTAAAGTCAAAACCAAAATTTTGGAGGAATTCAGCTCAGGTAGAAAAATGATCCAGCATCAAAGGACACGCAATGGTCTTGGTGTGCAGGGCCTGTGTTTACAGAGTGCATCACTTTCTCAGTCTGAGTCATCAAAAAACCAATCTACTCCAAAAGAGGGCAGTCAATCTAGCAATTCACTCAAGGAGATGACATCAAGGAGCCCAATGGAGAGGACCAATGGACAAATGATTAGGCGACCAGCCAAAAGCTTGTCACCCAGGCCTACTGGCAATATGACAAAGCCAGCGACCAGAGCTACCCTCAGAAAAGAGTCTAATAGGGGATCAACCCTGAGCCCAAAAAGAGTGCCGTCTCGCTCAAAGAAACCTTTGAATGACAGCTAGTTGACCACTGGTTCAAGCTGAAACTGCTCAGCAAATCAATCATCCTGAATCCAGAAATCTAGCTAGTTACAATGCAGTTTAGTTAGGAGCGACATCTGGTTAGATACAAACTCTAGCAGCCACTGAACTCAATCATACTTCAAAGCAAGTGCCAGTAGAATCGCAGCAGGTTGTACAACAATTCTCTGGACAAGCAACATCAGGAATACCGGTACCCCCTTCTGGCATACAGTCAACAGCAACATTGGCATCATTTGCTGGCAGAATGGAACAAATTCCCTCTGGAATTGATCCTTTCAGGTTGTGGTTTCCTTCTAGCCGCAATTGCTGCAAGCGAGTCAAAGAAGCAAGTTCACCGGGAACCTCTCCCGAAAATAAGTTTTTGCTCATGTCAAGCCACAGAAGAGTTGTCAGTAGCCCTATACTGGTGCTGATAGTGCCGGTGAACTGGCAGTTGCCAAGGTCCACATTGTAAAGTCTATGATGGAAAGACCCTGTGTAGAACTCCTCTGGGAGAGTTCCATTGAGTCCAGTGTCTCCAAGGTGCAATACCATGAGGTTTTCCAGTAAGCCCAGCTCAGATGGAATTTCCCCCTCTAGCAAAGAGTTTCCTGGAAGAACAAGATAATGCAGGCTTTTCAACCAACCAATCTCCCTGGGAATAGTTCCTGACAACTAGTGAAAGAAGCATTGGTTTTGTGAGAGTAAGCAAGGATGTAGAGATGCAACATGGCAGGAACCTACATTTCCACCAAGGAACAATTGCAGCAGATTGCTTGCTTGAGAAATCTCAGAAGGTATAATACCGGCGAGAAAGGTCTCCGATACATCAAGATGTGTGCCTTGGAACAATCCCACTTCCCTTGGAATTGTGCCTGTTAATGGATTGTCCCTGAGATTGAAATAGGAGAGGTTTGGGAATTTTAGGGGGTCAAATATCTCAGGAGGGAGAGTTCCAGTGAGGGAACAACCTCCAAGGTGAAGGGTTTGTATGGTTCCAGGCAAGGAGTGATCACCGACAACAAGCTCTGAGAGACTTCCCTCCAACATGTTGGATGCAAGGTACAGTCTTGTTAGATGAGACAGGAAATTTATCTCAGATGGAAGTGACCCCCTTAAGTTGTTGGACACTGGGAATGGAAGGCAACAATGGTGAGATTGTGTTAAATAGCCGCGCACACAGGTCAATTGAGTTGTTTTGGTCATACCAAGCGCCACTTCCACTACATTCCTTTCGTTTCCAGCGCCCCAATGACAAGTGATCCCAGCCCACAGGCATTCGTGATCCTGGCTAAGCCACATACTCGCCCAATACTCACTGAAGTGTTGCCCATAGTGGCAGAGAGGGTTTTGCTGCAGCTTTGTGGGTTGACCACAGTAGTCCCAAGGCCCCTTTGCTGAAGTCTGAAAGTAAAACTTGGAAAGCACAAATCTCTGAATGAGATGCCCTTCGTCAGGCTGTAGCTGCATGGGGTCGTCGTTGACAATCCATTGGAGTGCTGTTTTCTTGTATTCCAGGTCTTCGTTGTTTCCCTCGAAGTAATCATCCCCGAAGATAGTTTGAATTGCCAGCTTGACTTGGTTGTGATGGTTGAAATCTTGGTCTGGGAGGCTTTGTTTGTTGGCCGTGCCGTTGGCTAAGTGCTGGCATGCAATGCTCGCAGCAGTGGAAACAGTTATGATGAGAGCCAAAAGCGGCAGGACCACCCAAAGCCAAGTAATTCTTCGAGGAGCTACCTTGTTGTGCTTTTTGCAATCAGGAACTGGAATGGCCACAGGCATGTTTCTTTCCGATACCATTACGGCCTCTACCAAACCACGGTTGTCTGTTTGCGGCGCTTGATCTGAGTGCAACTGCATCACGCCAAACTCTATATCTCCTTGTGTTGGAGGGTCTGGCAAAGAGAAAGTGATGCCATCCCCTGGCACAGCGTGAGCTCCAGGTACCATTCTCTGTCGATTGAATCTTCGCAGAGCGGTGGCAGGGGGCAGAGGCTGGATGCCATCTAATGGCATGAAATAATGGAGTTCTTCGCTCGTAGCTACGGATCCATTGCCAGCGTGACTTACGACTGTGGTGCAATGTTTTCTTGCTGGGGTCCGGGAGTCCTCTGTTTCAGCATCTGCGTTCTTCGTCGCATCAGGCTTGGACGTTCTCCGCAATCCACGCTGCCGCTTGCCAGCGTTGCAAGACACACGACGACTTGAAGGTGATGGCGGCTGCGGCTGCGAAGTATCGATGCTTGCAGTACTAACCGTGGCGATGGAAGAGTCTCGAAGCCCCCTCCTTGGTATCTTGATGTTGTTCCTTGTGACGATGGAAGAGCGTCCGAGCCGTCGTTCGCTGTTGTTTGAATGGGTAGCGGTGGTGGTGATGGTGGTAGCGGTAGCCGCAATGGTGTAGCGTCTTAGCCCTCTTTGAGGCTTCTTCGAAGCAGTGTTCCTGTTTGCAGCGACGGTGTACCGACGAAGTCCTCGTTTGCGTTTCATGCTTGCGCTGCTGCCGTCGTCTGAACCAAGAGACACCGCTTGCATAACACGACGAAATCCTCTCTTCTGGGAAGCATCGCAGGGTTGTATCACAGGTACAAGATTACAGCGCGACCAAAGCGTCGTAGACTGGGGCTGCAAATCGACCAAGTGAATATCCTGAAGGTTGCCCAAGCGCGTTCGCCTGGGAGTGGTCTTGTCTTTCTTGTCGCTACAGCTGTCTTCGATTGCGCTGAAACAACTACTAAGCTCTGCTGATGACCCAGTGTCATCCGATGCTGAGCTCAGGCAAACACTGCGCCCTCGAGAAAGATCTTCGGTCAACTGAGAGAGATCGTCGTCTTGGGCCAAGTGATCCTTCTCGTTTGCAAATTCCACATACTCCTTTGAAGTCTCAGTTAACAAGGATGCTGGTTGTATGCTTTGTTCGAAAGAAGAGGGATTCGCAGCAGATCCATCGTCGCTACCATCAGATGCAGAGATTTGATGGGCAGCTGATGGCGAACCACACTGTTTGCTTTGTCGTTCTGGATTCATCCTCTCTCAATGGGCACTTCGTTAAGGGCAAAAGTCAAGATTTCTTCAAACGAGTCCTCAGCCAAGTCCGTTTCTTATGACCAGAGAAGAGTTTTGTGAGTGGTCCGCCAGCATTTTTGCTGCATCCGGCCGCATCTTATGTTCCGGTTTTTGTGTAGAAACTCTCGTAGAAACAGTACCAAAAGTTTTTTCGGTTCTTAGACGAGATCTGTTTGGTCCCATCTAGAAGCTGGGTGCCTACGATACCGGTAGGCTCCGGCGAAGATAGCATACATGAGGTGAAGCAGCCTCCACACCAAGGTACTTTGGCGGTGCAGTACGGTACCGTAAAAGTACCAGTGCATCTTTAGATCTATGGTATCTGATTCTGTTGAGGGTCATGTCTTGCAACCTTCCCGGTAGGTGATGGCTGGCATCGTATCCTTTGGCTAGGTTGGCGCATCTACACTGCACTCTACACTCTTTCGATCCACTGCGGAAGCTGCTTGCCCGCTGGACCGCTACATGTGGGAAACTGGAAGCTGTGGTTCAGCTGTAACGGCAGTTGTTCACGATTGGTGCAAGAGCTTGAGCTGACTTTCTTCTTTGCTAATCTCCACGGGTCCTGTGAGGGGTCGGGGAACAAGAGATGCTGTATCAGCAGAGCTCACCATAGCCACCCCAGCACCTACTAGAGCTAGTAGCTAAATAAGTTGCTACCAGGTACCAGGTACCAGTACTACACTATTCTATGGCTCCTCTCCTTACACAGTACCAGTGCACGTGTGCGACTGTACGCTGTAGATGCCCTCCCGCGAGCCAGCGATGGGCAAAGACCAATCGATTTGAATCATTCGATTCGAATTTAATCGAATTGACCATTTGAAAGAAATCGAATCAAATCGAATCGAAGCAAGCATGCGACATACGATACAGCAAGCAAGCACCAATGGCTGAAGCAAAATGTTGTCGTCGTGATCGCTTTCGTAGCAGTCCAACTGGATAGAGGAGATGGCCCCCGGCGGTGGAAGAGTTGGCGAACCGTACCGTACACGTGAAATCCGTGTCGGCCGCCTGCAGTAGACAAGCAAAATGGGACTCGGCTAGCTGGCTAGTTTTGGTCCAGAGAGCGAGTTTCGGGCTACCTTATCTGTTACTCTAGTGTTTGAAAAAGCGTAGCGCTCAGTCGCAGCTGGATTTGCTTCCCGTGTTTGAGCTGCTCGAAGACAGTTGGCCTTCTTCTTCAGGGCTGCTCCTCTTGTTGTACGGTACCGTACTATCCTTTGTCTTTCCTCCCAACACTGGTCACATTGGTTTGGAGTACATTTTTACACAGCGGATGGTTCTTTGACTGACAGACACTTGCTTGCTGTTCGCTTCTTCCAATCAGCAGGCAAGCTCTCATCTGTGAATCAACGCAGCATGGTGGCCAAACTACACCTCGTTCTGCCTGACTAGCTAGGACTGCAAAGCAAGTTGACACGATTCTATGTTTTCGGCATAGATCTGCGACAGCCACCCCCTGCTTTTGACTGCGAAGGCAGCCCTTTTTGGCGGGTTCTGTTGAAACGGCAACACCTCTGACTGGTATTGGCGAAGAATGGCTCACAAACTGGTACGGTGGGTATGACATACGATAGATCACCGTGGCAACGCAAACTGCCTGCAATCTTGCAAATTTACATGTACAAGGGAGAGGGCAAGGGAGCAGAAAGTCGATTTGAGGGACACTTCTGAAGCTTTTCTGGCGACACTTGGATACATATAGAATATGCCATGAAGAAAGAGCGTCTGAGCTATAAGATCTAAAGGTTTCATGCAAGCTCTTTGCCAATTTGAATGTGTAAACCATTTTATATAGTAGTTTTGTAGTGCATAAAATGTCCACCTAAGATTCACAAGTCATCCTAGTTGTTTTACTTTAAGAGGAATAAACAGCTAATAAACACTGTTTATACAAGTCTTGGTTCCGAATAAGTAGGCTGGGTTCTTCCCCGGACTGCTTCGCCCTAAATATGATCGTACCTTTTTCAAAACTGATACTTTGGGAGCACGAGAGGAGTTAGTAGTGAAGCTTGAGTGATACATTTCTAAAATGAAATGCTAAGAACAAAAAGAGAGTGTGAACTTTGAGTGGGTAGAGGGATAAGAACGGACTTAAATATCATTGTGTTCGTCACCCCTAACAAAGGGAAGTTGCTGGGTGGCATCTTCCAGAAACCACATGATTTCCACATCACCAGCATGTCCAGCTTGAAAAGCATCTCACATAATGTGGGGCTCCCCGAGTACTCGAGTCCTCTCACAATTTGCATTTTGCTTGGGCACAAAACAAAAAGCTTCCCAGGTAAGTCGCGATTTGCTGCTAACTGGCGTGTATCAGACTATTTAGTGGGTTCCAGTGGCAGTGGCTTTCAGATTTATTTCGCTCGGGAACGATGGTGATGGAGCGAGCTCGAGTGACCAGCAGGACTAGAAGGGAACCTGGCGGAACATTGCCAAGAAGAAGTTGCTCATTTTTGTTGTTTTACACATGATTTATGAACAGAGCAATGCACTGCCAAACAGACGAACCCATCCCACTCAAGGACACCAACAGCGAGAAAGCCCAACATAGTTTCATGGATGTCCCAGAGCTCGCGAAGAAGAAGGCCCAGCAGAGCAAATCCCCAAATGAAAGCGAGAAGAAAGTCCACCCGCCCATCCTCCCACACGAAAATGATATTCTGCTCGGCCGAGGAGGCAAAAACAACATGCACGTGAGTGTTATAAGATCTCGATCTTTTGATTTGTCGTGTTCTCTTGTTAATAGACCATTTCTGATCATCCCGTCCCTTCAATGCTTGCAATGTTTGTTACCAAACTCAGGTGGGCAACGAAAAGCTTCGGGAGTTAGCCCGTACGGTAGCCGAACAGTATCATCGCTCCTCCAAAAAGGAGAAGTCGTATTTGTCGCGAACCCTGGTGCAGAAGGTAAAGGAAATGGATCCTCCCGGGAGATTCTTAAGGCGCCACCCCAAGGATAACCTTTGGGAAGACATGAGCGACGACGAGGACAAGTGCAGAGAGAAATGTGCTCAGGTACTGCGAGACGCCGTCGCGTACGTTGGATTGAAAGATGCCCCGCCACCAAGCATGGCTCAGAGGGAGCAGCATCTCCAACACAATCCATATGCGATGCGACAAAATCAGCTTGCCATGCAAGCCCATATGCAACAACAATCCATGCGAATGAATCCGTTTGCCATGAGCGCAAGCACCAGCAGTCAGATATTGAGCCACCACCAACAACTGATGGCAGCTTCATCAGCGGGAGATATCTCGTCGGCGGCATCCAGACAATTTGCTTTCCCAAACTTCAATCGTCCACCTCCTCAACTTCCTAGGCACTCTCTTACACCATCCACGGGGTCCTACGAGCCGATAGGATTGTCTTCTGCGACAGGGTACGCATCGATGCCCCCTGCTGGTATTCCCCAATCCATTAATATCCATCCAGGAATGCCTGCGCTGCAAGGCGACGGTAGGCCCTTCAACATCTATCCGGGAATGCCTTCGCTACCACAGGGTGATGGGAGACCCGCGAAACGAGCCCGACGTTTGAGCAATCCGTACTTTGACCCATTCGCCTCCACCGTGACAATGACGGGTGAAACTGGCTATGGCAACGATAGACGCCTATCCATTGCCAGCAATAGCTATCCTGCTGGCTCAGATTTTCCGTCTCAAAACATCCCTGGCCCACGCGTCCGTAGGGACTCCCTGTTTGGAAATCTTTCAGTGGGGGCACATGGTTCTGACCACAGCGTGAGAGACTTTGAGTTGTTCCCTGACATCACCGACAATAACGACTGTGCTGCGCCCAAGAATGACACAGATGCCGCCGCTGGTGATGAGTTCTCGTCGGACTTCTGCTAGATTTCTCTCAAAACAAAGTTGTACATGAACCGTACAGGAAAACTAATAATGGGTGGGAATTGCGATATATTAAGTGTTTTGGGCTACTAGTAGCTCTATTTGAACCATGCGTCTGTCCTCTCTGCTTTTATTCCTCCATTGTTTCCCCTCTCCATCAAGTGGAGTCGAGATGTTTAGTTCCCGTCAAGCAGGGGAGCACCCCAATATTGATTGTAAAATTGGCTGTAACGAGCACCCTTCCAGTGGCGTCTGCTGCACGAAACCCACTTCTTGCTTCCACTGCCAGAGGACCACCACACCAGATGGGGCTGTCCGGTCTGACAAAGCTGTGGGATTGGATGATGAATCATTCATTACCTACATGCAGCACATGTAGCACATGCAGCCCAGGCTAGAAATGGCCCAACAGGGAGAATTCTCACTGTTACTTTCGGCCAAAAGCTCTTGGAGAGTTGAGTCCAGTCCCTCCAGCCTTCAGCGAACCAGCATGAAAAAAGAAAAGGTCCGATGCCAGGGTTATCAACAAGCATTCTCCCTGTTGGGCCCATTCTCCCTGTTGGGCCGTTCCTAGCAGGACCATCGAGCCCCACTACATGTATTATATATTTTTTTATCATACGATTTTAGCAAAGAGTGACTGGATTAAGTAAATTTTACTGAAACAGGTCACCAACCGACAAATCGCTAAAACACAGGCTTCGGCCTCTGTGGTTACTTTTTGGTTTTGGCATGACTCTTTCATCTCCTCTGTGAGACTCATCAGTGCTGGGCTAAATTATATGTACTTGTGAAACTTTGGATTGTGTGGGCAGGCGCCGTAGATTTCGTTGCGTGTGTTGATCATTGTTTCCGGTGATTCTCGAGAAGGTCGAAGTATTTTTTTACTAGTCTTTCGTCGATTCTACTAGTCCCCACTAGTCTCCACGTGGAACGCCCGCCAAACGAGGATATCCAACGTCAGTTAAACGCAGCGCGACCGAACAGATCCACTAGCTAGCTGGTGTTGGCGAGTGGAGGTTACAGACAACATGTACTGAAATTTCATACAAGACCAAAAGACAAGATATCCTCTAAGTAAACCGACCTTCAGTACGAACCTCCACAGTGATTCAAATATTGACACCTAACTCTCGAAAGTCCAGGTGTGACCGTTGGAGTCTTGCGGAATACCCAAAGACTTATTCGAAGAGGTGCGTCGTACCTCCAGCGAACGACCTCACAATTTGATCTCCGTGTCAAGTCGAGTCATTGGATTCCTACAGCAGAGCTACTACATCATCATGTTGTTTACTGCTACTCATGTGTTTAAAGAGTGGCTAGATGTTAATAGTCGCTATCCTTACAATGAGATGAGGAAAACCAGGCAGACATATGTATGCAAGCATGTTTTGCTAGAGGATCAAACTGACAGGGAAGACAGTAGATCCCAGTACATTCTTGTAAAGACCAGATACCTTTCAAGTGGCATCCTTGAGCAACTCATCATGGAAGGGAATGCGCTGCCAATGACTCCTGATCAGAGTTGGTTGCTAGATGAGATGTTTGTGTGGGGTGTTAGACACAGCAATGAATGGTACAGTGATGTTCTTGCTGAGCTGGCATGGGAAGTGTATGAACATGAACCTGTCACAAGGAAAGAGATGTGCAGAGAGGCAATCAAACCACTTATGAGAGGAGTTCTCTATACTCAGTTTGGTGTGTGGCACAGTGAGGCAAAGGAGTTGTTACTTACAGAGTGGAGTCATTGGTTTGACACAGAGTGCTGGAGCCAGCACAAACACAACCTAAGTGGTATGGCAATCAGTAGTGAGCAGTACATTTCCCACAGAGCTGCATTCACTGCCCATCATGGTGGCTACTCTTACCCAATGCACCAAGACTGATTCATGTCTGTTGAGAGAAAGATAATGGAAGCAACAGCTGTAAGATTGTTGTTGTTTGTAATCCAGTTGGTGTCATGGTAACAATAGTCAAAACTTACTGTAGCTTGGTACCATTCAGCAACTGTAGAAACTTGTCTGTTGTGTATCTCTTTGCTGCAAGTAGGACCAAAGCCATCATTGGCTCCATGGAACTGCTTCCTCTCCCTGCATCTGCCACAGTAGTCTCTCTTGCAATCTTTGGCCACTCCCTCAACAGATACCACATGATCACTCTTCTTGAAACCACATGTGTTGCAATACTTTCTGCTCCTGAAAATGAGTCTTCTTGGTCTAGCTGGAGCAGTGGCTGGCACAACTGTCAGAGCAACTCTATATGCGACATTGGCTACAGCAGGTGTTAGATTGCCATTTGCAGCAGCAACAGCCAAGGCACCAACAGCCACCTCTGGATTCAAAGTCGTTGGATTGCCAAATGGTGTTTCGCCAGTGTTGGTGTAAGCTGGTGGGCTTGTGTTGTGTGTTCGTGGTTCTGCATCTGCCGAAATCTCACGTCGGTTGGTACGTAGCCGGTCATCCAACAGCTGTCGATCAACCTCATTGGTTGGAGCGGCACGAAGGCTTTCCAGTTGCTGTAATTTATCGTAGTGCTGCTGTAAAAGCGTCCGACTCTTGTACCGAAGCTGGACCACATTAGATATATCTCCTTCTGTGCTCCAGAGTTTGAATCGCCTTGAGACTTCCTCATTCCAATTTCGCTCAAAGGTCTTGAAACTTCTTGGGCCTGATTGTGTTCCTCTGTCATAGCGGCTTACCCATTCATCGAACAGCTCAGACTCAGCATTGTCAATATCACTTGCACGAGTTGAGCTGTCAGGAGATCTGAAGGGTATCCACTCACATTGGTTGGTGAGGCGTCTGAATGCTTGTAGTGTTGATTCACCAGCACCATCGTCAGGCAACAACCGATTCAGTTCGTGCTGAATGAGTTCCCTGTTGGCTTTGTCGTTGGCTCTTGCTCGCTCTTCTGCATCGCTCAATTCCACCTGTTGGCGTGCACGTCGCTGATCTGCAGCTTGTGCCGCTAAGTACTCTTCCTCAGTGGCGAAGACCTCTATGTCCATGTCATCGCCCAATCGACCACCAAGAACTCGGTGGATTTCTTCTTGGGATTCAGGAACAACCTCTTCATCACTGTCATTGCTGCCATCAGCTGGTTCTTCGCCATCTCCGGCGGACTGGTATCCTTCTTGCTCTCCATCCGTAGGATTGGACACTTCCATCATCTCAGGCAGCGCTGAGTAGCTAAAGCCCATGTACTCTTTCTGGAAATCATCTGGTTTCTTTGGAGCACCGAGCGAATAGGGTGCCTCTTTGAATCCAACCTTGTGAGCGTAGGCATTCAATAGCAGTAGCTTCTCCGTGTTCTGTATCTTGTAATCCTTTCCTCCAAGACGGATAACAGCCTTCCTATCATTTCTTTCTTCAAAGAAACAACACATAATTCGCTCGCCCCTGTGGACACCTACACTGGGAATGAAAAACTCTGCAGAAACGCCCTTTTTGAGTCCGCAGAAACACTTTTTTTCCTGAAGCAGGCTGGCGTGCACTCTGCAGAAGCCCTCGAACTCTGCAGTTCCGAAAGCCGGCATGGCTTTTCTGCCGGGAGGTGTTTTTTCTGCCAGGAGGTGTTTTTTTTTCTGCCAGGAGGGTGTTTGTCTCTGGCAGATGACTTTTTTCTGCCAAAAGCACCTGAAAACTGCACAGAATGGCTCGCAGAGTCGATTCATTGTTTGGCAGAAGGATTTTCTGGAAAATATTACCCAACCTACGTTCTTTCCACAAATAGTAGTAAATTCCCGTAGAATCCTCTTTTTTATCCCCCAACCCCCTAAACTGCTCTCTTTTTCCAACGTTTTTATAGATGTTGAATGAAAGCACGACTCTCTTGGCAGTTATTTCATTCCCAGTCCTGTGGGAGTTGAACCTGACAGGTGTTCTTCGAAGTCAACAGGGCCACGTCATCACTGTGACTCGTCTTTTGAAATATGCTGGTGTTGGGGACTGAGTCGATCTTAATCGAATAGGTTCGAATTCGATTTGATTTAGTGTGGTTAATGTATTCCTCGACATATAATGGGGTCTCGTTTTAGAGTCTGGGTTAATGAGAAGTTAATGGGGTTCTCGTTTGCAGGAGAGACGTTAGGGCTTAGGTCCAAAGTGTCCTGGCATTAAATGTCAATGATGTCATCGCAGCCTTGAGATTTCAAAAAGAGACTGGCTATTTATTTGGCTAGTTTCGTCACGCCTGCCTGGTATCCATCTCTAAGTAATTGTAAGCTGCAAACGATAATTGC